TTGGAATGCAATTATTTATGGCATATTGTAATTGTTGTTTATGTGCCCTTCAAACTTCTAGGTCAAGTCATAAAGTCAAAAATATATACCTGTCGGAAAAGTGCTGTCATAGGTTATGTATACATGTGAAATATGAAAGCCATATCTTCTCTCATTCAAAAATTCTTGCCCATAAAAATGAACAAAAAACTGTAGGTAAAACTTTAATGTTAACGTCACAAGTTCAAAAACCAGAGTACATTCAGATAGGTCTTGAAAAGAATAATATAAATGTTTAGTCTTCTCTCATCAAAAGTTATCAGCAATGTTAAAATTTCTAAAAGAGAAAAAAAAGTCAAACTTCAAGGTCAAAGTCATGGGGTTAAAAATCATAGTACATTTAGAAACCTCTTGTCACAGGTAATGCATGTGTCAAAAATGAATGCCCTCTTCTCTCCTTCGAATGTTAACAGCAATTATAAAATTTTTGAAAATTAGGTCAAACTTGAAGGACAAGGTCAGGGTCAAATATCATAGCATATTCGAAAACCTCTTGTTCCAGGTAAATCACTTGTCAAATATGAACACCCCATCTTCTCTCATTCAAAAGTTATCACCAGTGTTAATATGTTTGAAAATAAGTGCAAACTTTAAGGTCACAGGGTCAAAAATCATAATATATTTGGAAAGGTTTTGACACAGGTAATGTACATGTAAAATATGAAAAACCTATCTCTTCTCGTTCAAAAATTAGAAACAAGGTAAAAGTAATGTTAAAATTTTTGAAAAGTAGTTGAAACTTCAAGGTCACAGGGTCAAAAATCATAGTATATTTGGAAAGGTTTTGGCACAGGTAATATACATGTGAAATATGAGAAAAAACATGGTTTATATTCACGACTAAGTTTCTTGACTAATAATAGTTTTCCCCTCTTTGCAATTTCAGAAAAGGGCCATGATTCCGCTGACAAAGTTCTAAAGTAAGACGCGGTTAGGCAACTTATGTCATAAAATACATATTTATCATTAAAGCCACTCAAAAGGAAAGGATAAAAAACAAAAATCTCTTATATTAATATTCAGATTTAAATCGATATTTGTATTTTGATGTTCCTTTCCTTTTACATGTAAGTACATGTATATACAAACCATAAGGATACCTCCTTATAATAATTGTGACTAATTGTGTCTCCGCTGATTTGTTGTAAATTGCGTTCAACATTTGGTAAATGAAAATTTCTATTCAATATAAGAAAACATATGCAATCTTCGTTTTTATTGGCCCTGTGACTAATGAGTGTAAGATTTTGAAATGACCTCACCCTATTTTTGAATAATGGACACCTGAAACGGAGTTTATATGTCCAAATTTAAAACCCTTTACTCAAGAATATCTCGAGTCAAGATTCAATGGTTCTGGAGAAGAAAATTTAAGTTTACAGAACACAATCATACATATAAACACCGTATAGTGCTCGATAAAAAAGACTCAAAAGAACATTTGGCTCAGATGAGATAAAATATATGAGATAATAAATGCACTTTGATATTGCAAATATTGAGGTACATGTATAAGTACCTCTAAGAGTTGGGAAAGGAGAGAGATAAAGAAAAAAGGGTTTGCTATTATTGGATTACGTTAGGTGATAAGTGTATGTCGTTGGAATCTACCATTTAGTATGCTTGGCAAGAATTCTCACAGTTCGTTATTGCATTCATTCTAGTACTTCCAAACACATTGCCAACGACCTATTTTTGTTTTGAGAACCAAGAACGAAGAAAGATTTCGACAAAATGATCAGATAAATTTCAAAATGTCATGTTTCTAGATTTCCGTGTTTCTATAACAATTTTATCGATAGTACAATGTATGGACATTTAGAGGGCTGTTTTGTCTTATATTGGGTCACAATGAGCTGTGTTGCAACCACTGTTGAAATAACGACCACTATTGAAATAATTATTTCAATAGTGGTTGAGAGTGCATTTCAAAACCAGACACAGCTTGTAACCACTATTGAAATAACGACCACTATTGAAATAATTATTTCAATAGTGGTTGAGATGCATTTCAAAACCAAACACAGCTTGTAACCACTATTGGAATAATGTTCACTATGGAAATAATTATTTCAATAGTGGTTGAGGGTGCATTTCAGAACCAGACACAGCTTGTTACCACTATTGAAATAACGGCCACTATTGAAATAATTTTTTCAATAGTGGTTCAGAGTGCATTTCAGAACCAGACACAGCTTTTTACCACTATTGAAATAATTATTTCAATAGTGATTGAGAGTGCATTTCAAAACCCAACATAGGTTGCAACCACTATTGAAATAACGTTCACTATTGAAATAAAGATTTCAATAGTGATTGAAATAATGATTTCAATAGTGATTGGAATCATTATTTCAATAGTTGCTGACAATGATTTCAATATAAAAACCAAATTGCAACCCTCATTGAAATAACCCCAATATTGGAAAAAATATAAGGAGAAATTCTTCATTATGTTTTCCAACATAATAAAATTAATTTATTGAGTTTAAATTTGATATGTAATTTTATGTTTCAATTTCTGTCCAGAAATACTATTAATACACGGATATCTGTGATTTAACTGATCTAGTAATTTTAAGTAATTTTGTTATATAATTTCCATTTTTGTTATTAATTGGGGAAAGTAAAAGATTATAAATACGGATAGTTGTAGAAATTAGAATATCTACATTAAAAAGAAGAAAGAAGACATCTATTGATATCTAATATGTGTACAAACTTTCTGATGAAAAAAAAAGATTAATTTTAATCAAAAGGATATAGAATAGAAGTAAATTTTCGCTTATATTCTTGGGCTTTCCCACACTACTAATATGGACAGTAAATCAAACGTTTCCTGTCAATACATTAAAATCAACTATTTGGGAAAACTAAGTATAAGTGTTATAACATCAGAGGTCGTTATTTCAATAGTGGTTACACGTACAAAAACCACTATTGAAATAATTATTTCAGTAGTGACCGTTATTTCAATAGTGATGACAACATGGTTTAGGCTTTGAAATGCTCTTTTAACCACTATTGAAATAATTGCTTCAATAGTGAACGTTATTTCAATAGTGGTTACAAGCTGTGTTTGGTTTTGAAATGCACTCTCAACCACTATTGAAATAATTATTTCAATAGTGAACATTATTTCAATAGTGGTTACAAGCTGTGTTTGGTTTTGAAATGCATTCTCAACCACTATTGAAATAATTATTTCAATAGTGGTCGTTATTTCAATAGTGGTTGCAACAGAGCTGTCAAACAGTGACGAATGCTCTAGTGCAGCAATCCCACCAAAGTGTTAGCAATGGAAAAGTAAGGTGTATTCATACTACGTTTTTTTTTTTTTTTTTTTTTTTTTTTTTTTTTTTTGTTTCTTTTTTTTTTTTAATACAATTTGTACACCTTGTTGTTTGTCTGCTACCACCTCAAAGTCCATATTATCAGTACAAATGTCCTTCACATGTATTCAAACTTTACATGTCAAAAGGTCAAGGTGGGTCAGACACTAAGGGGACATTATATTAAACAGGCACCATAGACTGTAATAAAATGATCCACTTCTGCTCTTAATAAAATGAAGAAGTGGTAGTGAAACAGTGATTCCCCCGTATGGCAGCTCATGACGAAGGTTTCTCAAATGTAAGTCAAACTCCCAAGGTCAAGGTAAACAAAATCAGAATTGTTGGTACCCAAGGGAGGGTCTTGTCAAAAGGAAAACACATGTGAAATATGAAAGCCCTAGAACTAACTGTTCAAATGTTATTGCCAAGGTTTAACTTTTCAAAAGTAGGTCAAACTTTAAGGTTAAGGTCAAAATTGTTGGTGTCCAAGGGAAGGACTTGTCTCAAGGAATATACCTGTGGAACACGAAAGCCCTAGCACCAACTGTTCAAAAGTTATGGTCAGGTTAAAGTTTTTCAAAGGTAGATCAAATCAAAGGTCAAGGTCAATGGGTCAAAATTGTCGGTGCCCAAGGGAAGGTCTTTTCACAAAGAATACACAAGTGAAAATTAAAAAGTTATGGCCAAGGTTAAAGTTTTCAAAAGTAGGTCAAACTCAAAGGTCAAGGTCAAAATTGTTGGTATCCAAGGGAAGGTTTTGTCAAAGAGAAATCACATGTGAAATATGAAAGCCCTAGTACCAACCGTTCAAAAGTTATGGCCAAGGTTATAGTTTTTGTAAAGTGGGTCAAACTCCAAGGTCAAAGTCAAGAGGTCAAAAATATTTATATTACAAGGAATACACATGTGAAGTACGAAAGCCCTAGCACCAGTCATTCAAAAGTTATGGCCAATGTTAAAGTGTGTTAAAATTATGCAAAAGTGGGTCAAACTCTAAGGTCAAGAGATCAAATATGTTTGCATCCAAAGAAAGGTCTTGTCACAAGGAATTCACATGTAAAATATGAAAGCAATAGCTCCAACCAATCAAAAGTTATGGCCAAGGTTAAAGTTTTTGAGGACAAACAGACAGACAGCTAGACAGACAGACAGGAAGACGGACGGACAGACATGGCAAACACTATATGCCATCGAATCTTCGATTATGTGGGCATAAAAACTAAATATTTAGTTTAGTTCATTCATAATTAGCCTTTGAAATATTGCTAATCGATACAAATAAATCATACAAGAAACATTTTTCTCAAAAACCTGTGTACAACTGTCTGATTTTTTTTAAAATGACTAATTATATAAGTAGTACGCTGTGCACAAACTGATATTTCGCACACCCTATAGCTTTCCTTAGATAGTGTTCACATGGAAGCAAGAATCAAAAGAAGTTAGCTTCAGCATCTTTAAAAATAGAATGGAAAAAGATAGGAGTATGCATTTTGTGATTTGATTTTTTTCTTAATTTTAATAAATGAAAGGAACAATTGATTTAAAAAGGCACGCTTGTTTATACCCATGACGTCATGGGAATTCTCGCAAACTACAAACAACGCGTTCGATATCGATACTTACTATTTAGTGCCTTAGACTTCCATATCTTGGATTTAACTTTGGCATTAACAACTTGTACCCACTTCAACATTCCTGAGAGGTTGTGATACAGGTCCTGCTGGTCATGAGAATATTAATGTTACAGAAAACTCCGACAAATGTCGACAAAATACACATAAACGAAACAATCTGTTTGAGAGGCTTCAGACTTTAATGAGGATGTCGTACAAGAAATCATCATCTGAGAGCGGAAGTTCCTCTTGTGACATATCACTCTCAAATCTCATTGATAAAAGTACTCCGATACGAAGAACTCAGAGCTAGCATCACATTTCCCGGCATCCTGCCTTCTTCAGTAAATGACATCTATAATTTGTCAGTATGACTTGTAACTTAAGTGCCTGGTGTTATATAACTGCTACAGACAGTATGACAAGGCATGCACAACACAGGTAAACAAATGTAAGCATATTAAAGAGAGCCTGTAGTACTGATTTGCTTATTATCGCCTCCGACGCGTTTATCACAACATCGCTCCAAATACCAAACTTAACCTAAACATGCTAAACGATGCTACATATAGCTGTTGTGACAATTTAGAATCTTCAGCTCGACAGACCAGATAGTCAAGACATAAAAAAAAATCACTTTGTATAAAGTTATTGTTGTCACGAAAATTCGAGAGATTTTTGAATATAAGGCACCAAATGCAATCCAATCATACTAACTGTTTTTTCTTGCGTTTTAACGATTTCCTTTTGGTAGAAGATAGTAACGACAATCTAAGCACACTTTTTAGGGGACGACTCTAATCTCATTAGTAGAGTGTTCAAAACCCGAGGCTAATCAAGCACTTGTCACTCTGCTGAGTGGCTTAGGAAATCAATCGCTTGTCCCGAACGAATCCAACGGCAAGAAGGACAACCCTGAATAGAACGCTAACGGAATTTACGGGAAAAGAAACTTTTCAAGAATGGAGTAAAAAATAATGTAAGGAATACACAGAACAAATAATTTCCTGTCAATGCAATAACAAGTCAGGTCACTTCCGGTGCATGTGTGTGCTATGCTACTCTTATTTATATGCTTATAGAATTACATACTTAATGTGATAAACAGCAAATTGTCAACATGTGAGAATTATGTTTATCTAAAAAAAAAGTTAACTAAAACACATAGAATATCTTTTATCAATGCATTAAGCCAATAATATGCTCTGGTGAAACAACAATATTTATAATAGATTAAGATTATTCGGCAAAAATAAGTTTATTTCATTTTGACAAATTTTGCTTTTATAAAGCAAATTTTTTGCGATAAAATCAAAATCTGTTCTCTTTCTAAAATGCATCACTATCGTATTTTGTATTAGGGCTTGAATATTCAATGATCACAATCTAAAATATGCTTAAAATGAAATCTAATAAATTATTAATATATTGTCCCAGAACGTTATCAGAAAAAAATGCGCAAAGTAAAATTAGGTTTCAATAGAATTTAGTTCAATATTAGCTTTTCCCAAAAAAAATTTCTCACTTAGAAAAAAAAGAATCCATACAAAATCCAAAATAAATACCTGTAATCATGACAACAAAGTGAAGTTGGCGATTCCCCCAGTCCAATTAGTGGAATTTGTTCAAGGGCATATTGACCAAACACTAGTTTATCCTTAATTTGTCCTTGTTAACAAGCACATCAATTGTCGCCTAGCCCTCCCGTCACATCGGTGCAGTCGTGCTTTGGATGCACGTTAAAATTTCGCCATTCACATAGATGTACCGAGTACTAAGAGCAAGTTCAAATATACGAAGTGGATGGATAGTAAAAAAAAAACAACAGATTTTAAAAAAAAGTTGAAACGCAGAAAAATTACCCCAAAATAGGATACCCATGGCGTTACGTGTCTATTTGGTACCGTGCATTCAGCGACACGCCGACTTCCCCGCCGTGCGTTATTGTGGAATTAATTGACACGGGGTATGAAAATCGGTGGGAAAGGTAGTTTAGGAAATTTACCAATATGCACAATGTTAGAGAATAGGTCAGATAGGTTATCCTTAACTATATAGTTAAAGAAAAAGTCAAGTACTATAAAAGTCTGATCATTAAGAGGAACAAACGCCCATATCGGCGGAGTGCAATTTTCGTATATACACGATTTAAATTAAATTAACAGATAATCGCTTATAATATATATGCATCACTACAAGATTTGTTGGTTTAATTTAGTTATGTCCTGGTACATTAATGTCTTGATTAATTATTTCAAAAAAATACTGACAGCGGTGGATGCAGAATTTAGGGGGAGGAGGGGGGCTTAAAAATTCAATAACTAATTATAAAACTCACAATAATTGTAGTTAAAATACACAGATATATGAGTTTAACAGCATACAAGTTATAAAGGCTTTCTTAAGTTCAGGCTCTTGCCCCTCGTATTTCTTGCGTTTGATTTCATTTTCTATCCAGTACATTGTATACTGATATAGATGTCAACATAGTTCATGTATTCAAATATAGGTTAAAAATTCCCCATTTCTCTATACCCCCTCCCCCCCCTCCCCGCTATCTCTGCCACATGTTATCTTAGATAAAGTTTCTGCTGCATCCTAAGGAACTTCGAAGAGCCGTGAAGGAGAGAACTAAAGTTTCCAAGATAAGACGAGCGAGGCAATGCAGATTTGACGCTGCTCGCCTCACTAGCGATTCCTGGCTTATTAGCCTACGCTAGTGTTATTGATCATATTCACGGCTCCCCGACGGAAGAAATATTCTTAAAATTCCAATCTGTTATAAGCAAGTGGTGCCAGCCAGGACAATATTACAACATGCTGCACTATTAGCTGCAAAAGGATTGTGACGTCACAGTGCCTGCTTCCGGTCAGAATTCATAAACAGGTAATGATAATTGATTCCATTGATTGGTTATTGTCTCATTTATTTGTTTGTTAATTAATGATTTTACCAGGTTAGGTGAATAAATAATGAATTTTGTTTCAAATATAGATACCACGACAAAATAGAACATCTTAGTTAAAATTAATAAAATAATACACACTATTTTATCAAAATACTGCATCGGGAAATTCATCTGTTTTCCTCAACATGCAGTTGTAAATACAGAATAGGCTAAAACTACTCTCAACCACTTCAGTGAAAAATTGTACATAATTACACACAATTACAACTGTTAAGAATATGATTCATTTCATTAGCTCTGAACGTAGCTTGATATTAGACATGCATGTTCGTATCAAAAAGGAAGAAAATGCCATCTAATAATTAAAGCAGGTAAGTTTATACTTATTATCCCTCAGAGAAATTAAATATAATTTATCAATAATATTTAGTGTGGAAAAAGAGTCCGTTCTGCTAGGGTTGTCTTTTATTGAATTTTTTTTCTTCAGTATCGACTTTCATTTATTTAGTCATTTTATATCTGGTCACCGAATGACCGGTGCGAGCAGTCTGTGGGGTAACGATTTTGCGTCAGTTGGCTATATTGTAAATGAATTTCTGTGTTATTTACATTTCCCCAAGTGCCTGAAGTGTATAAAATTGACATAGGCTTTGCTGATCCAATAAAATACGCCGAGAAAGATGTAAACGATAGCACAGAGCGAAAGCAAAACTCGGGGGTTATTAATGCTGAGATGCGTAATGTTCAATAGCTATCTCTGCAAAACATCTCTCTCTCTCTCTCTCTCTCTCTCTCTCTCTCTCTCTCTCTGTACAAGCTACTGACAACAAAACTTCTTCTAAGATATTATTACTTTATTCTAATTAGAATGACGTTTATTTCATAATATGTACCTCTCTAACATTTTTAATAATAAAAAAAAATACTACCCTTCTTCACACATGTACAAGTTTTTTCTATCATAACACACAATTCCATATGTTATCGCATACATACTTTGTATACTTATGAAGGCTTTCAACAAGCCTAATTAAAATACGTCATCATGCACAAAATATATATATATATATATATATATATATATATTATCGTATGGTGTGTTTCTGCAGCCTCTGCCTTTTTTGATTAACCATAAATCATCAGAGTTAGCTTAATTCGCCTCCTAACTCATCTCCTTTTTCTCCATACTCATCATTGATCTTAGGATGTTCTGGAAAAATTAATGCCAGTTAACCAGACTTTTCAGCTGCTTGTAGAATTTGAACCCCATTTCATCTCTCTAATAAGTGAACAAACACTAAATAAACCATCAAAAAAGGGTTTTTTTTCACACAGCCAGAAGGCTTTGAAAAAAATTTTGTCTGGTTTGTAAACAGACAAGTGATAAAAATCAACCTAGTTTTATAACTATTTTGTTACATGTATGTTTAACATTTTACAGATCAAAAATGGCGGAAGAAGACATCTCAGAAATAAGTGCGGAAAACTTGGACGAAAAAATAACATTTGGTGTAAATTTGATAGAGGCAGCACTCAAAGAATTGAATTTCATTCAACTTGTCGAAAGTAATAGCAAATTCTTTGACAAAAAGTTCATCCATTTCGCACTTCATCGCTACGAAACTTACTGGCTCCCTTTAGCAGCAGAAAATGAGGACAAAATTCTGCCAGCCCCCTTGGATATCGAATGGGTGTGGCACTGTCACTTGTTGTCTCCCCTTAATTACGAAGATGCATGCCGGGAAATGTTTGGTCATACAATAGACCACAGGGTTTTGTCTAGTGCAGAAAGGGATAAAGAAATAATAGTTTCGAAGAATCTTTGGAACGACAAGTATCCGGATGTTCCGTTTGATATGGAAAATATTCCGGAAGTTATTCCAGAATATGAGAGTAAAATTTCGTATGACATAATGGCCGCTGCTCAGCGTCAACGTGTTTTTAACTATCAAGTGTCCTTGCCACATTTCAAGGACAGGAAATACTTACAAGAGGCAGTAAATCGATATAAGAAAATGCTCTATTTGAAATTTAAAAATCCAGGTGTGTTCCTGGTTCCATGTTACGACATGGACCTTGTGTGGCACGCGCATCAACTACATCCGGTTCGTTACAAACAAGATACAGAAAATGTGCTGGGGAAGCTATTTAACCACGACGACTCTGTGATTGATAGATCTCCTGGGTCAAAGTTGAACAAAGCAGACGATAAAACACGAGAGCTGTGGAAAGAGGTCTTCAAAGAAAATTTTTCAAAGGCTGGGGCGATGTACCGCGGGGATCCACCCTATGACGCTTTAGATCCGCCTAACACGGAGGAAGTTCGCAAGTTCTCAACCAAGACTGCAAACATTAACCTTGATAATGTAGAAATTGAAGGACTTCCAGAAGAGTTGAAAAAATTCAAAATCAAGATACATCTTATGGCAAACGAAAAAGAAGGGCTGCAAGTCGGCGCTCTTAAAGGACCAAACAGGAAATGGGACAAGAAGAAGAAGTTGAATTTTACATTTGACACAAAATTGTATAACACGATTAAGTTCACACTTCTTCAAGTTCATAAACCCCTCTGTGTCTCTACTTATGAACAGTTAGGACAGTGTGTTTTGCAGATGCTTAGCCACGTTGAGAACGCATCTTCTGAAAACGAAACAGAGATTTCTGAAACACTGACTCTTGATGAGGAACACGGCATTCGTATCCAGCTCAAGGCTTCAGTTAAACTGATTCCAAAAACAGGCCCATGTCTACTTTTTCTGAAAAACGGAAATTACGACAATAGAATTTGCATCATGCCTGAACATGTCAAGCAAATGTGGGGACCAATTCCCTTACCTAGGCTACCAACAGGAAAAGACAACCAGTGCATCGTTGCAACACACAAGTAAATCTAACTGTATACAATTTACAACTTATACCCTAATCTTGCTGTTTTAAGTTATGATTATTTATATTCAAATATTTTCGATGTACACATATACTTTCCCCTTTAGGTTTGTGAATCATAATGGGGATTTGACCTTCACTTGTCGAGTAATTCACAGTCTCCCTCTACTAATGTCGGCCATTCAGGTCTTTTATCACGACAGGATGGCGGCTGTAGCTCACGTGATCAGCACAGACCAAATACCTTTGTCATCTGAAGTAAGTAACTTCTCGGCAAAATGAATAAATAAACAGGTACGTGGAATATTAAAAAAAATACGGTGCTTATTCTCAACAAATTTTTATTTAAGGTGGATGAGCCGAGAAGCTTTCCAACCATTGTCCCTCTTTCTGGACAACGGTCTCTTCTGATCAAGAACAAGGAGGGAGATTGGGGAATTCTAACGGGGCAGTGGACAGGATTCAGAAGGGGCAAGTCAGGCGTACCAGGTAAGATATTTCCTAAAATATTTGTTCTCTGTTTCACAACAATACACATGTAGTTAGGACCCAGGGAATGAGCGCTTGCCTCTGTTTAGGCAGGATACAATTTTGTACATTACCTGTCTATGTCTTCTTGGTCTTTTAGTCATGGTGTATTATTTAAAAGGTTATACCTAAAACTATGCATAGATTGGAATTTTAATACACTCACTTTTTCAAGAAAATTTGGGTTTAATGTTGTTATCCCTATCCATCAAACCTTCTAATAATCGACTCTCATCCTAGAAATAGCACAAATTCTTTGTTTGTTTTGTTCGTTGTTTAACGTCCCTCTCGAGAATTTTTCACTCATATGGAGACGCCACAACTTGCCGGTGGAGAGCTGCAAATTTTGACCTATACTCGGCACTTAGGGCAATTGAACAGGGAGGGATCTTTTTCGTGGCAGCATCTACTGCGACACGGGACCTCGGTTTATACGGTCTCATCCGAAGGACTTCTTTGTTAATAGGAATAATTGGCCAATATAAGGTTTTGGAATGTTTTCATTTAAACCTAGTTGTCCAGGGGCCTAACAAGATGTGAATCAAACAATAAAAATGTCACTTGAATTCCTACTTTATTTTACGTAATGGCAAGCTAGCAAAAATCTTCTTTGCTTATGGTTGGTCATGTCATAGAGACAATTTATATTTTTGATTTTTTTTTTACCAAGGAATCCACAGGGACTGAAAAGGATAAATTATGTCTAGAATGGTTCCTTATGAAAGCTTTGCTTAGAACTGGCTTTTGTATTTTCACTACTGTGGGTATAAAAAAATATAATTCTGTCAAGGAATAGTTATCTGCTAATGTTGAAGATGTTTAACAACATTTCAGATGCTGATCTAGTGACCGAAGACCTTTTGTTTAAGATAACATCCTTTAATCACCAAGTTGCCATATTTTCTTTGTTCATGAAACTTGCATGGGTTATGACAATAAGGAATTTTATTATATGATTGAATAATTTCCCTCTTTCTGATTGGCTGAGATCCAACAATGTTAGAAAAATACTACGTTATATTGACCTACACGTGACCTTCCAGGTCAATATAAGGAATTATTGCAGGTCAATATAATGAATCACGTGACCTTCCAGGTCAATATAAGGAATTATTGCAGGTCAATATCATGAATTATTCCTGTTCCATTTTTTCATGTTACAATGTGTTCTTGTTGAAATTTCTCGTTAAAACTTTCAATTAAAGCAAAAAAAAAAAAAAAAACAGTCTTGTAGGTGTTTGCTATCATTTAATCATATAATAAAACAGTTATTGCTGTTTTTTGAGGTCAATACGATGATTTAGACACCTTCGAAGTACAATATTCACCTCGCCCTTCGGGCTCGGTGAATATTGTACTCCTCAGGTGTCCAAATCATCGTATTGACCTCAAAAACCAGCAATAGTTGTATAATATTCTTAATCAAGATATGCTACCAGTCATGTTTCAGATGTGCCTGACCTCCACCGGTACACATACATGTACATGTATATTTTTTCGATGAATCATCATGTACCTCTAGATATACCTCTGGAGCTGATCCACCCCCACCCCCCAAACAATGCTTTTATTGCCTTGACCAATCTTGTGTAGATTTTACATCTTGAATATATTCTACCAAGCATTTATGTATCTTACTTGTTTGAGTATCTTTATTTTGATCAGTCTTGCATCAATGATGCATCTTAAGCATACTACTATTCCGTGATTGTGATGTTACATTTAACCTGTACTTTTTGATGAGTGATATAGAGGACCATCAGTTACTGTAGTTTCTAGTTTTTGATATTTATAACTTGATTCCTGTGATTCAGTAACCTCTTGTACCAAAAACTACCTTAAATGACATATGATTCTCCTGCTAATTGTAAAGTTTCACTAACAAGATATTGATTAATATGAGCAAGATTCGTATTGATTTTGAAGTCGCACTGTAATATTTTGAACGTGTGATTTCTAGCTAAAGTTCTACTAATACAGATGGGACAATAAGGATGAAGCCAATGGCACTCAAGGGTTGTATTTCCAATAATTAATAACATTTAATGCTACAAAATAAAAGTGCTATTTTAACATGTATACATTGTGCGAGGAAATTGATTGAAAAATTTTGAAGCGAATTAAATTGTGAAATTTATGATAATATTTTTTTTCTAAGTTTTAATGATGTCTTTTTATTGACCTTTTTGTTCAGGGTCCTATACCCTGTACAATTTTAATGGAATTTTAAATCGAAAAAGGCGCAAAATTTGAAAATATTACTAAAATTATGTTTTACTGTTGATAAGGGTTAGATTGTAGACTTATTTCTTAATTACGTCTTTATAAATCATTATCATCTCAAAATTCAAGTTATTTTAACATAAAAAGCAGCGAAAAATTCCACTTGCTTGTTATTTGGAAATTTTAGCCTAAATTTTAGGAAACAAGAGAATCTTCAATTGGGACAGAGTCTTTCTACCGAACCTGAATGCAATGGATATTGAGCCCTGTAAATGTTCTATTGACAAACTTCCCTCTAATTGGAACAACTTTTTACAAGTCTTGTTCGTTTTGACAGGTGGTAAACATCGGAAGGGAAGAAAAGGCGTTCCTGGAAGTCCTGGGACATTAAGTATTCGGTTCTTCAAGTGTACACGTAATAGCTGGAGTGAATTGGCCCTACCCTACCTAGAAAACGTGTTCAAATTTCACCTTCATGAGACTGATGTTGACTTACAACATGGCGTCATTCAGATAGTGTCTGAGAAGAATGAGATTGCAGAAAATCTAGTGTTGGCATTTGGAGTGGCTTTGCTGCACGTATTATGTCAGCCAAGACCTATGACACCGGAAGGAGAAGGTGCAACTGCAATATCCGGGACTCCTATCAGAGGCTCGAAGGAAATAAAGCACTTACCATCGGAAGACCTTGGACTCGTCGTGGCTGCAGGGTACACAGAAAAAACACCAAATAACCAGTACATATATAGAAAACATGGTGCCGAAGGAGCTTCTGGATCTAAAACCGACCAAAATGGCGTGGGTTATATGTATGCCTTAGATCCCATTGATGTTATGGAGACCACAGCAGATGAGGCACCAACAGGAGAAAATAATGCAGATCCAACTGAGGAAATTCGACCTGCTGCAGAGGACACGCCTGTCGAAAACGGAGCAGATGGCGATAATCAGACAGATATTCCGGACACAGCCGGATGTGGGGGTTGTGGTGGCTGTGGAGGTTGTGGCGGGTCGTGTGGTAGTTGTGGAGCGTGTGGTGGATGTGGCGGCTAAATATTGACTTCTCAAGGTTATTTTATGGATGAAACTTAAATTTACCACAAGCTGAATTTCTCAGTTTAGAAATGTGAATTACATGTACTTAGGTAGAATTTTCGTGCTTTAAAGGAGCTGGAGTCTTTTGTACGTCGAAAAAGTTTATGCATAACTGATTCAACCATTATACATTGTATACATTTTTTCCCTTTTTGATATTTTTTTACTTCCATATTTACGTATTTTTTCTTTACGTTGAGTTTACATTTAAATTATAATTGTAGAGGTACATGCAATATGCATCTTAAAGAAACATTATTATATATGTTAATAATATATGATTAATTTTAGAGTTACTATACATTTTAAGATATAATTGGATTATATTATATAATGATTGAAAAGCTATTAATACATGTATATCATATTTACAAAGTATTCTTCCATATTTTAATCCATAATCATCTAGCAATTTGTTAGCAAGAGATATACTGCTGAATCAGCAGGCTACATGTATGTAAAGCCCAAATATTACTGGGATTTATTTGACATTTAATAAAAATAAACAGTTTTATTTCAGTTGATAAATTACAGTATTTAAATGTAAAAAATGTAATAAAATTGTATTTATTATATTATTATACAGGTAATATTATTACAATAAAATAGCATTCAAGTACTGTATATTACGAATATTTAAGAAATGTATTTAGTTTATTAAAGTTTTAATTACGAATATGTGTGGTGGGCTTTTTCTTTTTTACAAAGGATTTTTAAAGGAAAAAAATTGAAGTGTATTCATATTGAATACGTGTTGCGTGTGAAAAAGCATTTAGAAAATAACAGAAAAGCTACATAATGGTCATCTAAGGAAGATATGTTTTTATTTCACTTTTGATCTTGAATAAAACAGATTGATGCATTGGGTTTTTTAAAAAAAAGCAAATTCTCATATGCCATTTCTTTTTTTATCATCTTCTTTAAGCACATACAGTTATATCTTTCGTCCCATTCTGATAAAAAATTGCGTGTTATTTTCCTGCTAAATTGTGTTTTTAAATACTTATATTTTGTTAATTGTGTATAATAAAATGGCCTTTCAAGACTTATATTACATTGGATGACAAATTTATAAAGTTTACCAGATTTTCAGATGGTTATGGAATCGTGGGACTCGGTACGATCCTTCCCCAAAATAGGCGCCTTACACGCTTTTACACTACAGTTTATCACGGAAACGCCTTTATCACGGATTTTGAACCAGTTTCGAACCACAGACTGAATATTAAGCGTACACAAGTATGAATGAAATTAACAGAATACTTGTGCTGTTGCGTCTAAAGCAATACTGGTACATGCGTTCGGTATATTTGCAATGATGTCCCTCTGTTGTCTGGACCAAGATTAATCTTAAGATTCTTGAAGGTAAAGATTGAGTAAATGAAAAATCTAACAGTTTTCTGAAATTTTGAAAATGAATTCCTAGAATGATGCTTAGATACGTGATGATGAGATGATGACTGCATAAATATAATATGGGAAGTGGACTATATGGAAAAGCTGAAGGCAATTGACAATTTCATTGTTAACTACATGTAGTTGGCTATTACCGTCCGTCGGAGCCGAACAAGACTGAAAATAACTAAGTCTTGTAAATTCAAAAAATGTCGTCCATTTATCGAAATGTCGAATTAAAGGCGACATCAAGAGTATTCGTCTTCTCTCGTAGAAGTTTTCGAATAAATTCTGCTTCATAACAACATAAAAAGAGGTCAGCTAAGAAAGGATAACAATTAGTGTTCACTGGAATGCCAGCAGACTGCTGGAAGACCTAATCTCCAAAGACTACATGGTATAGATCTTGTCAATGAGGAACTTCAGCATCTTTTTATTATCAGCTTCAGAGAACGAAATGATTTTTTAAAAGTGATTTTGTAAATACAAGTCACAAGATACATATTCTGAATTCCATTTTTATTGTAGAAGTTGCCTATGTCCGTAAACTCTGATTTTGATTTATTGTAAGGAATGGTTTTAAAAAGCATGGAAAGGTCATAACTTATGAATGTTTTTGTTTTATTTGTTTCTTGTTTGTTTATTTGGTTTCTTTTTTTAAATGTAATTTCAATTTTTCTTAAAGTTCTTCGGAGTTTTTGAAAAAGATGTGAATGCACAGTTTGCCTGGAGTTTCTCTTTCACAATAGTTCATTTTTTGTAAGGGTTTATAAGCCGGAGTTACCCCTCTTTTCATTTTGCATTCTGCAGAAAATTAATTATACAGATAAAAATAAAGAAACAAGAAGTCTACCCCCGTTCTGGTGGGAATATACGCTCTCATTTGAATGTACACAAGTTCAGTTTAAGAAATATTGCACTTACTATGATTCTTTTTTTCATTTAAGGTTCATCCTTTTATCACCATTCAAGTTTATCCAGAAAGTCAATGTCCACAGTAACAAAAAATAAGAACCAAAGCAACGCTGGAATAAACAGGAAGTTGACATTAAAATCGTACAAAAATGAAACCCACCATATGACATGCATAAACAAAGAGTGAGCTAGAATTTCAAGCATCTGCCATAGGTAGTTGCCGAGAACACTGCGATGGTAATTTGTTACGAACAAACACACACGCACAGATAAACAGAAAGTTGACATCGAATTCTTACAGAAATGATTGCCGCCTTATAGCATGCCAAAATAAAGAGTATGATCAAATTTCAAGCATCTACGTAGAGTAGTTGCTGAGAAAAATGCGAGGAAAATTTGTTGAGGACAGCCAGACACACACATACAGCTAGACAGACACACACGGGTCAAACAGTATAACCCCCTCTCCTCTTCGGAGCGTGGGTGTAAATAATGCATTTATCATTTGTGTGATGCTTCGGCAAATCTACACGATTCCTTCTTGCATCCATGAATAGCCCTCCCCCCCCCCCCCCTGCAAAAAAGAAGGTGGTGAAGACAGAAAAAATACGTACCGGTATTTAGCCGAATTGACTGAAAAAACGGTTTAAACGGGCGGTTATTCAGATACAATTTCCCCCAAAAATTTATACACAAACGGACAGACAGACAGTTAGACAAATACTGGTAAAATGGAAATCTTTCAACATCAGTGACGAAAGCGAGCCTAAAATAACATACTATTTTAAACTTTAGTTTAGTTAACTATAATCAACTATTGTCAAAGTTGTTACTGAGTGAAGAGAATGCTTGTTCAAATGAAGAGAAAGTAGAATAGGATCATTTAAAAATCTTCAAAAGAACCACTGGATCAGAAAAGAATAATGTAATGAGTATATGCATGTATTGCATGTTTGTTCAAATCACACATGTACCGCCCGTGGAAGAATTGTGCAACATTTATAGGAAAATTTTTATAAACTTAATTTCCATCTCTTTAACAACTAGACCATGATTAATCAAATTGAAGTGCAAGAATCCCCAGGTAATTCAGATTCCAATTTGTTCAAATCATCCCCCAGGCGTGGGGTTGACAACATCTGTTTCATATTTGGATATTGTACTATAGAGAAAGACGATGATGGTAACATAACAACAAAACTTTATGATAAACATGATGACTTTAACTTTTCTATCGTCAAATTCCCTTTCTTATGTAGCAATATACCCTTTTCACCTGTATATGGGGTTTATATCTCCCAGTTGCTTCGATGTACAAAAGCATGCTCCACGTAACAAACAAGTTGATGACAGAGGGATATCAACAGTCTCGTTTAAAGTCATCATTTCGAAAGTTCTATGATTGAGTCAATGACATTGTCAGCAAATATAGTCTATCATTGAGGCCAATGCTGACTGACGTCTTTCATACTAATTGCAAAGCCTTCATTTAAATATTGAATTTTCTACGGATTGTCTGATTGCCCGATCATGACAAAGAGCACGCGGCAGGTGTAAATGGTCGACAGGGAATGCTTACTCCTCATTGGCACCTGATTCCACCTCTTATGTTTTTAGAGGCCCGTGTTTGCTCTGCGAACATTTGGAATTCTTTCAATGGACTTATGCGCTTGATCACTGTTCGTTATCTCCATATTTCATTTCGTTTTCCTTTCAATATATTTGTGAAATGCTTATTTTGAACTAGACAGTTGAAAATCTTGCAATGTCGGAAGCCTGCCTGTGTTTAAATTTTTTCGCATTAGAATATGCTTTCGAATATCGAAACAATTTGGGAGACATAAATATCAAAATTGTGAAGGGAAATATGATATAATGAACAGTATGCAAGCTCATAGTCCATTAAAACAATACAATCAGGAGCAAAGCAAACACTGACCTCCAAAAACAGCAGAGGTGGGATCAGGTGCCATGGAGGAGTAAGCATCCCCTGCCGACTGGTCACACCCACCGTGTGCTCCTTGTCATGATCGGGAAATAACGGAAAAATCCATCGACAATTCAGTGTATAAATAATGGCCTAGTAATTAGTATGAAAAATGTCAGCCAACATATGACTTAATGATAGATTGTATTTGGTAACAAGGTCATTATATCGACCATAGAACTTACGAAATGATGACTTTAAACCAGACTGCGTGTTTCATAAACGTGTTTGTCAATAACTTACCTCGTTTTAGAAAGTGTTCATACGTAGAACATCGAATCAGCTGAGAGATATACACCCCATATGCAGGTGATAAGGGTATATTGCTGCATAAGTAAGGGAAGCTGACGATTGAAAAGTTGAAGTCATCACATTTATCATAAAGCTTTGTTGTTAGATTACCATTGACGTCTTTTTCTAATAAATATCCAAATATGAAATGGATGTGTCAGACTCTGTGGTATCTTTAATTTCAAGCTCACTTGGATATAAAATTACGTCGTCGGTATATCTAAATGTCAAGTTGAAGGCCACAGCAAGAGATTTCTTTCTCTCATGTAAATGATTTTGAATAAATTCTGCTTCATATGAATACAAAAATAGGTCTGCTATCAACGGGGAGCAATTGGTACCCATGGTAATTCCAACAGATTGTTGGAAGACCTGGTCTCCAAAAACCACATAGATTTTGTCAATCAGAAACTCAAGCATTTTTTAATATCAACTTCAGAGTACTTTTGTTTACAATCAGATTGTTTTTAAATTTTGCAAATGACCAATGACACAGTGGTTGTGGATTTTTGCTACATATATACTAAAAGTTGATGATGGAAAAGTTGAATTCATCCGTTTGACATATAGTTCAGTTGTTGGTTGACCATTGACATCTGTAGTCAGTAAAATATCCAAGTCACCTTTTCAAAGATTTATAGAGTTGACATATCAATGAAAATAAGAATTATTTATTGAGAAAACGCGGTCAATACATTGAAATGTTGAATTGAAAACCACAGCCAGAGATTTCGTCTTCTTATTTGAAAGTTTTCGGAAAAAAATTCAGTTTCATTAGAATATAAAAAAGGCCGGATGATAAAGAAACATTATTTATGCCCATGGAAATTCCATCTGATTGGAACCAGTTTCCGAAGACTACATAATAAGAACTTCAGTAACTTTTTAGATAAACTTCAGAGTACATGTGTACTTGTGTCTAGAATGACATTTAATTAGAATGATTTTAACAAAGTCATTTTATACATGACCAATCAAAAAATACTGTTTGAAAATTTTCCAGTTCTATTTTCATTGACGATGCAGTTGTCTATGATGTGAAGAAGGTTGCTTTGTAATTATTAATTGTGAGGAATGGTTGTATAAAAAGTCGAAAAGTCATTTGTTTTGATGCTTTTTTTTATTTTAATTTTTTCAAGTTCATATATGTTCAAATAATGGCATCTAGGGTAGAGGTTTACAAAATGGTACACATGTATATATAGGAAATAAAAAAAATATCAAGAAAAGAGGTAAAAACTAAATTATCGATAAACAAAACACGTGGATTTACGTTTGTCCAAATAATGGACATTAGAGCATGGTAAGGAGAAAAATTCTGAATTAAATTTAAATTAATTTTACTTGCTAATATAGAAAAAAAATCTAACAAAATCTTTTCCAGAACAGCAAGGTCACTTTGGTCATTGGTGTTTTGAATCTCCCTGCAATTGGATTTTAAGTGTAAAATTATGCAAAGGAAGGATACGCATTCATCATTTACTATCATTGTCATCTTTGTGGTTAAGGAAGTATACTCCCCAGCAACTAGATTCCAAAATAACTGGTTTAATATCTTTCAAAGTATATAATATTTATCGTCATATTCTAAAAATATTGTATATATACATGTACAACTATCACAATGTTATTAAAAGACAAAAAGGTCAAATGCTTTAGAAAGGACTTTGCTAAAGAAATACTTTTTCTTGCGGGAGGATTTCAAACAAGAAATGCATACAAATGGCTTATTTTAATTTTTAAGTGGCCTTTAAACATCCCATAAAATTAGGGAACGTGTTATTCACAGATTTTTTTCAGACACCAGACAAAAACAGAACAGACTTAAATCTTAATTAGGTTTTTTAATCAGAATTTAAGAAGAAACCAAGTGATGTTTTATAAAAAAAAAAAAAAAAAAAAAAAAAAAAAAAAAAAAAAAAAAAAAAAAAAAACAAGGTTTACATTCACAAAAATAAATGAATAAATAAAATAAAACAAATAAACAAAACAAACAAAAAAAGATCCAAAACAAAAAACCAAACCAAAAAAAAAAAAAAATCTTGAAAAAAAATTGTCTTTAAAAATTTATCTCGAACCTCATTAATTTAAAAAGATATGAAATGCTTTTGTCTAAGGTATACGAAATAGCAATGATATTCATGCCAAAAATAATTAACTTAGCTTTTCGCCTTTATTGAGTTTCAGAAACATGCTTTCAAACATTGATTTTTTATCTACTGGTGTATAAAGGTCACAATTTATGCTTTAGACTTCAGGAAACTTTTTTTTGAACAAAAGTATTGATACTATTTTTGAGTATTTATTTTACATACGATATTGTAATGTTTATTATTATATTTTTCAAACATCAGTTGTTATAATCATTATTTAAGGGAGATGGGTGAACAAGGCTTGCATGATTGCCTAAATCAGATAAATAAAAATCATCAAAGCCATTATGTGTCATATTAATTAGGAAGAATCTTTAGGAAGTGTAGATTCAAGTTTGTTCAAATCATACCCCCCTTAACCCCTTTTATATTTAAACTTTTCAATACTGAACTGATTTCTGTTTTTTCTTAGCCAAAGCTTAAGTGCTCAGGTGAGCGATGTGGCCCCTTGGCCTCTTGTTATCTTAGTAGATATTAAATATACTTCATGAAATAAATGACATTACATTCAGGGATGTGCCTCTTAAAATACGCTGTATTTTGCAAAAAAAAAAAAATAATAATAAACGTAGCAATTAATAGAAAGTGATTTATTTTGAATATGAAAGTAGAAAATATTGATTAAAGAGAAAGAGTAAAACTTACATAAAACTTACATAAAAATCAATATTAAGGTACATAAAGTGTTCATAGTGTACTACAGACACAAAATATGTTGAAAAAAAAAATTATAACGGACTGAATTTTCTCTGACTTTGAAAGAATATGAAAAAAAAATGAACCCTTATTTGTCTTTTCTCAACAAGCTATGTACATTGTGACATCCACAGCAAATATATTATTCATTAGTTTTACGCTTTCTCCCAAATAACAAAACATTCACATTAATTTTTTTTCTTTTCAAAGCTTTTATTGTGTTCAAAATAACAACACATTCAACTAAAAATTAATGTTAAACTAATTTTCAATGCACATTCTTGTTATTTGCTGAAAAATCTGAGTTCAATTTTTACATTCCGTAATTATTCTGTGAAACGAAAGATCATGCAGTTTTGGATGATCTTAAAAGATATGAATTAGCTGCATGAGTATTCGGAAATCTTAAAATACCAAATCTTTGTGAAACTGTTCAACATCCTATGCAAAAACTTTAAACAAATCCATATTATTTAATGATTCTTTTTTAAATGTGTCTAGTATAACATGGTATAATATTTTATTTTATTAATTCGTGGTCCCGAATGTTTACATTTATATACATGTACTAGAAAATAGCATGTAGATTTAATATAATTTACGAGTATTGAAGTGATTTTATTGTAAATCTTAACATCAGACCAAGGACCTTATAAACAGGCTATGGTTTTAAAAATATTCGTGTTGCTCTTCACTTATTTTAAACACTTCAGTGATGTTCCATTGCCAAAAATATGAAAAATATTTATCTGTAAACAACATTTGTTGTAAAAGTAATGTATATATATATATATATATATATATATATATATATATATATATATATATATATATATATATATATATATATATATATATATATATATATATATATAATGCACAAAATGATGTATAGCTAATTGTTTGACTATTGAGACATCATAGAGGTATAAGATATTTCTTATACGTCTATGGACTTATCTAGATTACCATTGATGGCGTAATGTCGCGTGCTTAATTCACGTTTAGGATTAGAAACAAAAACAGAAATGAAGAAATAGATATATGGATTGCAGGAAAAATGCAAAAATGCAAAAAGCTGCGATACGGAATAAAACGTGTTTTGAACAGACTTTGCTATGTTAAATTTTAAGTCAAGTACCCATAAAATGGGCTTGAAAATTACGAAGATTTGATAAGAAGTAAAGACAGACAGAATAACAACGACGATAAAACTCATTCTGTTCTGAACATGACCATTTACTGTTGAATTTCGGAGAGTTTTCAGTTTTAAATAATGCAAAATAATGATGATACAAATAGGAATGAACCCTACTATAGCTCGAAGGATGGCCAAAATCAGGTAAGATTCATCTTTTGTCAAATTCATATCTACCATAAAAAGAGCCACAGTGCTGATGGATAAAATAAAAGAAATACACCAAATAATAATTGAATATCGAGCGACGAAAGACACCGTAAGATAATTCTTACTTCTTAGAGGATCAGTTATTAATAAATATCGCACGATGGATAAAAAAATCACGTGGCCAAGGGAACAGTAGTAAGTCATATAAAACAAACTATCATAAAAATCACAAACTGAGACGAGATGTTGATCAAAATAAAATTTATCGCGCAAATAAGATTCAATATTCGTGAAGCTAATGATGTAGCAATGTATAATCATAAAAAGATCAGGTAATGCTAAACATCCTATGGCAGCAAATGTCGGCGTATGTAATTTCTTACTGAACACAATTTTGACAAAAGCAATAAAATTTCCAGTAAGTCCAAACGCTCCAATGATTAAAGTGGACATAGCCAGCCATCTGAGCGAAAGCGAGTCATAGTCTTCCCAAGTAAAGAACTTCAGAAACTGTGTTGATCCATTTAAGAGTAGATCTTGATTAAAATTATGGTCAGTGGTATTCGTCGACACATTTAATGTTAAATTCAGTGTAAAATTGCTCATCTCCATCACATCAGATGCATCATTGAATCCAGAATAAAGCTCTTTATCATGACTTTTCCAGGTTACTGTATCTTTTAAGAACAATTGGCCTTCACTTCAAAATACGTCTAAAACGCTGGTAAGATTCCTAAAAAGTTAATAAAAATGTTAGCACAAAACTTTTTTTGTCAAAAAATAAGAATTCTGCAAATTTCATACTACTACTTATATTTGCAATTTTAAGATATGAAGAAAACGCTAAGAATAAATTAGTTTTGCATAATTTATCATTATTTTAAGATGTTTAATAATAGCGATTATAATTTGCAGAGTTCTACAGAAGTTTTAGAGACAGAAATACACCTTCCACATTCAACCATAGATCTCACAAACCTCACTGTAACCCAATCCTGTCTGTGATATAAACTTGAGATACTTCATCTTTAATTTGGGAAGATTTATTGTCTTATAACACCTTTAAAACATTTTATAGTTTTTTATCTGTATTAAATACTAACTATAGAATAGGTAAAAAGTTATCAGCGCTGCATTGTCTTTATTTACTGTATAGGTTTAAACACTTGCCGCAGCTTCATCCTACAACCGGGGACCTGATAAAAACAAACCTGAAGGAGGATGAATTGCATGTACTTAAATCAAAAATATATCTTCTCTGAGTTACAGACAACAAGATACGGACTATAATAAAGGAGACAGGGAGTTACAGACAACAAGATACGGACTATAATAAAGGAAACAGGGAGTTACAGACAACAAGATACGGACTATAATAAAGGAGACAGGGAGTTACAGACAACAAGATACGGACTATAATAAAGGAAACAGGGAGTTGCAGACAACAAGATACGGACTATAATAAAGGAGACAGGGAGTTACAGAAAACAAGACACGGACTATAATAAAGGAAACAGGGAGTTACAGACAACAAGATACGGACTAAAATAAAGGAAACAGGGAGTTACAGACAACAAGATACGGACTATAATAAAGGAAACAGGGAGTTACAGACAACAAGATACGGACTATAATAAAGGAGACAGGGAGTTACAGAAAACAAGACACGGACTATAATAAAGGAAACAGGGAGTTACAGACAACAAGATACGGACTAAAATAAAGGAAACAGGGAGTTACAGACAACAAGATACGGACTATAATAAAGGAAACAGGGAGTTACAGACAACAAGATACGGACTATAATAAAGGAGACAGGGAGTTACAGAAAACAAGACACGGACTATAATAAAGGAGACAGGGAGTTGCAGACAGCAAGATACGGACTAAAATAAAGGAAACAGGGAGTACAGACAACAAGATACGGACTAAAATAAAGGAAACAGGGAGTTACAGACAACAAGATACGGACTATAATAAAGGAGACAGGGAGTTGCAGACAGCAAGATACGGACTAAAATAAAGGAAACAGGGAGTACAGACAACAAGATACGGACTATAATAAAGGAGACAGGGAGTTACAGAAAAGAAGATACGGATGAAATATATGGAGATAACGAACAGTATTCAAGCTCAAAAGTCCATTAATCAATACAGAATAGGAGCAGAGCAAACACGGACCTCCAAACATCAGAGGTGGGATCAGGTGGCATGGAGGAGTGAGCATCCCCTGCCGACCGGTCACACCCGCCGTGTGCTCCTTGTCATGATCGGGAAATAACGGAAAAATCCGTCGACATTTCAGTGTGTAAATAATGGCCTAACAATTAGTATGAAAAACGTCAGTCAGCATTTGACTCAATGATAATTTGTATTTGCTGACAAGGTCATTGTATCGACCATAGAACTTACGAAATGATGATTTTAAACGAGACAGCTGATATTCTTGTTTCATCAACTTATTTGTCAATAATTCACCTCGTTTTAGAAATTGTACATACGTAGAGCATGCTCTTGCGTATCGAATCAACTGAGAGATATATACCCCGTATGCAGGTGATGAAGTTATATTGCTGCATAAGTAAGGGAAGTTGACGATTGAAAAGTTAAAGTCATCACGTTTATCATAAAGCTTGGTTGTTAGATTACCATTAACGTCTTTTTCTAATTAAATATCCAAATATAAAATGGATGACTTTGTGTCAAACTCTGTGATATCTTTATTTCAAGCTCATCATGATATACCGTATCGACATAAGAATGGAAATGACCAATGTTAATTGACAATACATCGTCGATATATCGAAATGTCGAGTTGAAAGCCACAGCAAGTGTTTTCTTCTTTTCACATATAAGATTATGAACAAATTCTGCTTCATATGAATACAAAAATAGGTTTGATAAAACAGGGGCGCAATTGGAATCCATGGGAATTCCAATAGATTGTTGGAAGACCTGGTCTCCAAAAACCCCCTAGATATATTGTCAATTAGAAGCTCAAGCATCTTTTTAATATCAACTTCAGAGTACTTGTGAGGACAATCAGAATGTTTTTTTTCACAAAATATTTTTGCAAGTGACCAAATGAATGACAAGGTAAGTAAATTTACGAGTTCTATTTTTTATTGAAAAAGCAGCTGTCAGTGATATCAAAAAGCCTGGACTTTAGTTTATTGGGGAATGGGGAATGAATTACTTATGCACCTGTATGGCAGGTTATGGCGAAGATTTAAGTTTCTTAAATGCAAGTCAAACTTCAAGGTCAAGAGATCAAAAATTTTGTTACCCAAAGAGAGGACTTGTGTCAATGGATAAACATGGTAAATATGAAAGCCCAAGCTCCAACCATTCAAAAGTTATACATGTAGTCAAGGTTAATGTTTTTCAAAAGTGGGCCAAACTCCAAGGTTAAGTTCAAAGGTTAAAAATTAATGGTACACAGGGGACGACCTTGTCATAAGAAATATACATGCAAAGGAATATACCTTGAAAGTTTTGAAGAAATTTGAAAGCCCTGGCACTTATTGTTGAAAAGTTATGACCAAGGTTGAAGTTTTTAAACGTGGATTAAACTCTAAGGGCAAAAGGTAAGAAATATTTGCAGTCATTGGAAGTCTTGTCACGATGAATACATATGTGAAATATGATAGCCTTAGCAATAGCATCAACTCTTCAAATGTTACGGCCAAGATTAAAGTGTGTAATTTTTTGCAAAAGTAGGTCAAAATCCAAAGTCAAGATCAAGAGGTCAAATATGTATCCAAAGGAAGGTCTTTGTCACAAGGAATACACATGTGAAATATGAAAGCCAGTGGTCCAACCAATCAAAAGTTATGAATAAAGTTAAAGTTTTTGCGGAAAAACAGAAGATGGACAGGACAAAAACCATACAATGCGAACCATTTTAAAACTAAATACTCCCGAATCTTCGATTACAAGGGCATGACAATTTTACATATATTTAAACCAATCATATTCAACTCATTAACATTTAACATGAAAGTGTAATAATACAAATTAAGCTTCTGGACATATACAAAGATGCATATTTAATAATTAATTAAAACATTTTTATGGGTATTTAAGACAAGTTAAGTTTACATTTCAAATACTTCGACACATTGGAACTTTAGTAAACAGCAATCTTTGAAGCTTGATACTCACTTGCTGGTTATTTTCCCTTGTAATCTTTGTGAAACCGAGACATATTGTACACATTCCTCCATGTATTAACGTGTTAACAACATAAGTAATAAAAATTGGGCAGCCATTACCCGATAATATGGCAGGCATCCAATTATCATCAGAGCTTAATTTACTATGGAATTATTCTAATTCGTGGGGTCATTATTTGTGAACTGTCAAAATTTTACAGGTTCGTGGGAATGTTTCGAAGATTCAATGAAACGATATGTTGGGAAATTGTTGGATGAGATGTAAATACTTGGGTGATGGATACACACAAAACCCACGAATTTTCATTGGTACCGTAAATCACTTTTTTATTCTCGTCTGCTCGCAAAAACAACCTTACATTAACCCACAAACTGAACAGAAAAAGACAAACTTGTATTGACATGTGGTGAATATATTTAAAAAATTACAGGTTAGTTGGCAAGTTGCTGTGTATTATGCATTTTTCTGTAAAGTAGACAATGTAAAATTCTTACTCATTATTATCAAATTAACAGAGTTTTTCTTTTGTGTATTTGAAACCACCTTAATCTTCCATACAAATAGAACCAAAGAAGGCCAAATGATGAATATGATCAATAACAACATTAATTACTTAATTTGTGACGTTGTGATTACATACATGTTTCGACTGTAACAGATGGAAATGACGTAAGCTGCATATTTCCAATCTTGCCAGTTAATGTTCTGCGGTCTTATATGAACACATACTTTATGCAGTCTGAAACCAGAACATAACACAAAAATGAGAAGTGGATGTAACATTATTCACTGTTAAGCTGTGTAAAACTTTACACATTAATTTTCAAAAAGAAGATGTTATATATGCAATAATGTCTTTAGAAGACAACCCATTGCTTCCCTAATACACTATTGTTCAGTTTTGTTTTACTCAAGACACTATGTTATGGAATGATTGGTCTATTTTTAAAAGTTAACTTTGTCGTTTAAATTATAAAAACCAGCAATAGACATATACATGTAAATGGTATTGAAATAGTGTGGAGCATCGTTTCTTAATTTTTTCTGGCGACAACATAATCATTTACAAACAACGTTTGTTTCTACTAGCTTTACTTACTCAAATTTAAACTGTCAAGAAATCGAATAAAGATAGCTCTGTCCATAGCTTAATTTTACTTTGAACTTTTGTGCAAGAAGCAGTTTTGTTTTAACTCAAAATATATATATAGAAATGTACACGATCGCAAATCTTTATTACCAGATCAAATGACACTATAGTTTTCTATTCATTTGCCAGACCACCAGCCAATTAATGACAACTTACACTAGAAACAACTTCGTTCAACTTACACTGTGGCAATACCAGAAAGATGACAATTTACACTGTGGCTATACCAAAAAGATTTTCCTGTTCGAGATTATTCAGCTGAATGTGCACCTTGCCATTTTTATCACTACCCATCACACCGTATATGCTATTTGTGAATTTAAATCAAACAGACTTAATAGAAAACGATTATATGAACTTCTTTTTTTACTGTAGAACAAACATAGTGACTAATTATTAATATTTTAATGACGAATTGAAAGTAAAGTAAATTGAAGTACCAATGTCAACTGATACAGTGAATGGTCCTACAGATAAGCAATCTAAATATCAACACATTTCTCAATACAGAAATATTTTATTGTTACATTGCTCCTACAATGTTTACATTCAAAATTTTGTTAGCAGATAAAATCTTTATGCAATTGCATGTACATCTGAAAATATATAAAATGCTCGGAGATGTAAAAATTTAATTACCTCAATCCTAACACTTGCTGGTGAAAAAGTATCTCCTTGTAGTCTTTGTGTGAGTAGTTTATTGTTTATTGTTCATATATAGCACAATGTATAACTCATACCAGAACAGGACGTAGTATATAAACGAGAAGGAAAATTATTGGATGATTCGGCACACCGCCAAGCACAGTCATCGAAACCCATATTGCATCCAATATACCCCAGCGATTAAAATAAAGATCAATTAAATAATACACTGTAGCAAAGTCAGGAGGAAATTAATCACGCCTGAGATTTGTCCATTCTACAGTATCTCCATTATGTCAATATTCATTACACTTATACAAATATGATGTAGGTAAAAATCATATATAACCTTCATGGTGGCTATTACAATGATTGTGCATGATACATGCTTATAATAAGAATGGTCCTCAATTTAACGTTTTATACACTGTATATGATGAAAGTTGATTGATGCTGTATTTAAGGCAAATAAACCTTGATCGTTTGTGTAATGCCACGATCATCTCTTGAAGCCAAATATTAAAATATAATTTTATTGAATATCCGAACAGAAGTGTACTTTTATGAACTTTTTTTCTTCTTAGAGTTGTGTGGATGTAATTAATTTGTCATTATTGTTTGTGTGCAAATAAGGTTTTTGGTAAATACGTATAGCATCTTTAAGCAAATGGAAGCAAAAATTGTAAATTTCATGGCCTCTGGCTCCTGGTGCTTGGCGGTTTTGGCAATAAGTTTTAAACTGTAGTTTACTAAGTCTTGCAAATGAAACAGAGATAGTTCTAATAGAGCTTTTTGCAATAGAGCATAAGGATTCTTCTGTTCATGACGTGTTAACGATTTCCATATCGAAAAGTTTCAATACTACGTCACATTATCACCACATCAAAGGAAGTACATGAAAACGAGTGGGCGACTCTTTTACGCTAAGTCGGTGAACTGCAACATGCGGTGTTATATGGCAAATCTTACGAATACAAACACCAACTTTTAAAGATATATTCTAAGACATTAATTATATTATTTCTAATATATGACACTAAGCGTAAAATAAACATCTATGTTCTGAGATTTTGGCATATTTTTAATTAGCTGAGATTTTGGCATATTTTTAATTAGCGATATTTGACAAGGTTTCAGAGTGTGCATATCATATACACAAATTAAAATGAATTCTACAGAGGACAGTTGTTTTGATATATGATAAAGCTTTGTCATTCACGACATTCATTATTATTTAAAATTGCATATATAATTAGGAGACAAAATTCAAACCTGTTATGGGACGACTTTCTTTTCTTAAATGAATGTTTTACATGTTGTTCATAAATAGCAAACATAATTATTGTTCCTTTATTGCAGTACATGCCTCAATGTGGCAGGAATTTATTTTTTAGACTGTTGTACCTTAGATGAGCAAAACTGCGGCCGCTGCTTAAATCGCAGCAAAAATAGCTATAAATTGCCAAAAGAATGGGAAGACGTTTTAATGTCCAGTGATATGCATGACAATTACGAATGGAATGAATCTTAGATATTAAAAAAGGCCTAAAATGAATTGGTTGATAACTTGGTCATGTGTTTAAATTTAGAAACAAATATAAACATTCTCAAAGTACTTTGTAAGCAGTATTGAGTTTCTTACTGGTATGATCGGAATTCCATCAAAAAATCATCAAGGTGTACACTCATGTACTAAAAATTAGCTCACCATCTACAAGCGTTTAGGGAAAAGATAGGAAAACCAAGTCTGACAGATAGACGGACATATGGTTGGACGGAAGAATTCGTTAAACGTTAAATTACTAAATTGAAGAGTGATCTCGACTCCTTAAGTTAAGATAGATAATTTTTATTTCAAGTCGGGTTTTGACAACAAAAAAACAAAAAAACAAAAAACAAAAAAAAAAACAAACAAACAAACAAAAAAAAAAAACCCATAAGCTCTGCAGAGCTATTTTCTCACTAAAGAGTTTGCAGTCCTAAACTCCGTGAAGCTTCAAGGTAATGCTTATGGTAAATATTAAACAGAAGCTCTTACAAGATTTCGATAATTCTTATAGAATATTAAAGTAAAGCTAGGTGAAGGTAAAGGTAAAAGATAAAGGTTAAAATGTCCAGGTTAAAAAAAAACCATTGTGAATGAGATCAACAACTGGTAAGATTAAGTACCTGCAAGAGGTATTACAGCAAATTTTCAACAAGATTATTGAGAAGAAAATTCACACCAGAGAGGATGAAGAGGCCTGTAATCGTATAGAAACATTAACACTTGGCACCTTTAATACAGGTACAAATATTGCAGGATAACATTGAATTTTTTTTCGCTCGGAGAAAAACTATTGTCAACCGAGACACAGCAAACATTTCACTTAAGTAATGAATTTCATAATATCACTGGTTATCAAGTAACGCGTTGATAAATGATATCACTTTAGAGAATGTGGTTTCTGGACCCGAGATAATATTATATATATATTCGACCAAATCTAACTTATTAACGTGAAATTCGAATAATACAAATTAAGCTTCTGGACATATAGAAGCATAACATCAGTTACATTTAGACGTTTTATTAGGTGAGGCAATGTATATTAAATTACAAACCAATTTATTTTTTGTGTATTTCAGACAAGTTAATATTACATTTCAAAGACTTCGACAGATTTGTTAGGCCATTATTTACAAAGTGAATTGTCGACGGATTTTCCGTTATCTCCCCATCACAACAAGGAGCACATGGCGAGTGTCGGCATGGGATGTTCGCTCCTCCATGGCACTTGATCACACCTCTGATGTTTTTGGTGGTCCGTGTTTGTTCTGCTCCCGATTTGTATTGTTTTAATGGACTTAGAGCTTGAATACTGTTCGTTATCACCATATTTCATTGGAATTTTAATAAACAGCAATCTTGAAAAATTAATACTCATTTTCCCTTTTAATCTGTGAAACTGACACATACCATACACATCCCTCCATTAATTAATATATTTACTACATTAGTAATATTAACATGACAGCCATTACCAGATGACTTGGCAGGCATCAACTCATCATTAGAGCTCAACTTACTGTGGAATTTTTCTAATTCGTGGAGTCATTGTTCATGAACAATCAAAAATTTATTGGTCATGGGAATGTTTCGAAGATTCCGTGAATTGATACATTGGTAAATTTTTGGATGGAATGTAAATCTTCATTGGTATAGCTCGCGAACTACATTAGTAACATTTTCCTTTAAAATATTGAAGTAGATGTAGGTATAACAAGATCCAGTGTTGCAACCACTATTGAAATAACGACCACTATTGAAATAATTATTTCAATAGTGGTTGAGAATGCATTTCAAAACCAAACACAGCTTGTAACCACTATTGAAATAATGTTCACTTTTGAAATAATTATTTCAATAGTGGTTGAGAGTGCATTTCAAAACCAAACACAACTTGTAACCACTATTGAAATAACGTTCACTATTGAAACAATTATTTCAATAGTTGTTAAGAGAGCATTTCAAAGCCTAAACCAAGTTGTCATCACTATTGAAATAACGGTCACTACTGAAATAATTATTTCAATAGCGGTTTTTATATGTGTAACCACTATTGAAATAACGACCTCTGATGTTATAACACTTATACTTAGTTTTCCCAAATAGTTGATTTTAATGTATTGACAAGAAACGTTTGATTTACTATCCATATTAGTAGAGTGGGCAAGCCCAAGAATATAAGCGAAAATTTACTTCTATTCTATATCCTTTTGATTAAAATTAATCTTTTTTTTTTCATCAGAAAGTTTGTACACATATTAGATATCAATAGATGTCTTCTTTCTTCTTTTTAATGTAGATATTCTAATTTCTACAACTATCCGTATTTATAATTTTTTACTTTCCCCATTTAATAACAAAGATGAAAATTATATAAGAAAATTACTTAAA